CAAAATGATCTGTATTACCTGTAGCTCAGTCAGGGAGTGAAGTAACGTCTCTACCATCATTAAAACCTGCCGCGGGTCCATTTTGGCTGCTCAGGTTTGTTTACGTTCACCCCGGAAGTAGAACTTCTTCTTCGGTGGTTTTTTTAAGGAGAGTTTACCACTCTGCGCATGTCAGTACTGCTGTTCAGAACAAAGCCCGCTGCATGTAAACGCTTGTCACGAACAGATTGTGCCCATGTAAACAATACATTTGAATTATTCAAACAGAACACATTTCAATCTGGTCAAAGAATTCTGCACATGTAAACATAGCTAGTGGAAAACAATCCAGTCGATCAACAAGTCTCTCATGGGTAGACACCGACTCCACGGCTGAAGATGGGCTGATATCAGGGTTAAACCTCCTTCACCCCAACGACAGGCTGCCATGAGGATCAATAAAGTTCTCTTATGTTATGTTGCAGGATCAATGCCTGCTGTTACCGAGCAGACTGATCCGAGATCAGCCAGATGTGGTTTCCTCTGAGGATGTGGTCAACATTGGACTGGTTTAAATGGTCAGATGCTCTTTAGTCGGCTGAGAAACAAATTATTAATCTTTAACATGAACTGACGGCACAAGTTCTGACCCTGATGAAACATGATGGAAACCAGGAGGAAGAGGAGTTCAGACATCTTTGTTCTTCTCCTCCTCAATAAACCTTCATCTGGATGTGAATGGTGTTAATAAAAGTTTATTATCGGCTCCTGTTGATGGAGACATGGCGTCAGGCCTCCAGATGTTTCTGATGTCAGTCATCTTCCTCAGGGCTGCTTGACGTTTCAGCTTCTCAACAACGAGTCATAAACTAATGACACGCTCTGATGGACTGGCCGATAAGTAACCAGATCCTGGTGAACCAGCACATCTGCTGTGTTTTAATGACACACAACTTGTTACAGCTTCAACAGAAGCTGTGCAGTTAGTTCACAAACTAAAAGTTTGATCTGATTCACCTCAAAGTTCATCAGCCTGCCACCTCCACACCGGCTGAAGCTGCCCACCACAACAACATGTGAGAGGACACACACACACATGCACGCACACACGCACACACAAACATTTCAACCTGTCTGATGCACACAAACTCATCAACTCCACAAACAGCAGTGTGTGTGTGTGTGTGTGTGTGTGTGTGTGTGTGTGTGTGTGTGTG